CAACATTGTCTGAAGTTAATGCATGAAAGCTAAAAACATCCTTTATTCATAGTTCCTTTTTGTGTAACCCTAAATAACACAAGTAATGAAGTGTTTTTAAAAATTATGAAATTTTCATGCAACAGCTGCAAAACAAAAAGTGTGTATTTGCATGTGCGTATGTCAGAGGCAGACCTGCCAGGGGATGCATCCGTGGTACCAAGCGTGGCTCTTCAGGTTTGTGCCGCTCAGCCTCAGCTCTTCCTCCAGCTGCTTCCTCAGTTTCTCAGACGGCGCCTCCAACCAGAACTTCTCCTTGGAGAACTTAAAAGACATGACAGGCGCACGTTGAGAAACAACCCCCCCATGTACGAACACAGGAAGGCAACAACATGAGTTTAAGCCATTGTGTGACCTCTGCTGGCTAAAGGTCAAATCCCAGCAGAGTCTTTTATCTTCTGCGTTTTTTTCCTTCCTGGAAAAAAATCTAAACCAGATTGGCTTTTTAAAGAAATGGCTAAAATACAAGCATGTAGCCAATCTGCAGCCTTCTCTGCTGTTTTTGTGTGAATGTCTGTTAACAGAGGACAGAGTGGGATGAGGGAGGAGGAATAGAGAGAGGGAGGATTGACAGCTCTGGCATTCCCACACTGGCATCCACAGTGGCGGCACCAGAGGCCCAAAACCCAGACCCATGCTGGAGTTTTGGCCTTGTCACTGTGGCAACGTCATTGTTAGATGGGGGTCATCGCTCAGCGGCCTTTGTCTGTCGTGTCTTTATGCAAAAAAGAAGAAGAAGAAGAAGCTACTGTATACAAAAATTTATGTTAAGGACAAGCTGGGAATACTGGGAGTGTGGACACACACACACAAACACATTCCTCAGCTTTATAGGTGACATGTTGTTTTTCTGGTCCCTGACACCTCCCACCCCCTTCTGCTTTGACAGAATGGTTTGCCCCGTTGAACTGGGAATCAAAGACTGGGAACGGGGCCAGGACCACTTCAAAACAAAATAAGATGGTGTGTGTGTTGTGAGGTAAAGACCTGGAAGCCTCCAGCTCTAATTTCATTAGCATTATCATTCACTGGCAGCTTGTAACATTTAGACAAGTGTGTTTGTCAAGTATCTAATTATAAGTCAATGGAGTGGAAATCGTCTTGCTCTCCGAGGCTCTCTCCACCTTTCCTAAACAAGGCCGGCGGCCAAGACGCCACCATTGCCAGCGGTAACCAAGTCAGCTCAAAAGTATGTCGCCGCAGAGGGGCTGCATTCCCCGAGGCTTTTCTGTCACTGTCCTGATTGAATTAGAGCCACAGAGCCGAGTGTAGGGAATCACAGAGGTTTGCTGAGAGCTCCCATATACAGCTGGAAAAAGGCTTGACCAGAGGAAGTGAGAAAGCAAAAGGAAGCTGAATCAAAATGAGAGTAAAATGTACTTTAAAGTCACGCAAAAATGTAAGCTTACTTTCACATATTCTCCTCCACCATCTGTCATGTCCTGATGCCTAAAAAACAAAGGAAACAAGTTTGATTTATTAAAAATATTAGTTTGAACTTTTTGTGTAAGAGTCCCCAATTACCTATCAGCAAATAATTCACAGGAAAGTTTCTAAAAAAAA